TATATTCAAAGAATCCTGAAAAAAAAATTAATCAAGGTTTCCATAAATATATATGAAGCAGCATGACTGTTTTCAAAATTGATAATAATCAGAAATGTTTCTTGAGCAGTAAATTAGCACATTAGAATAATTTCAGAAGGATCTTGTGACTCTGAAGACTGGAGTAATGATGATGAAAATTCAGCTTTGATCGGAGGAATAAATTACATTTTACAATATATTTTAAAAATAAACATTTATTTTAAATTGCAACAATATTTCACAATATCTCTCTTTACTGTATTTTTTATCAAATAAATTCAGCCTGTAAATTCAACCCTTCACTCAAGTACTGTATGTAAATGTAGTTATATTTTATGGATACATAAAGTTATAACTCACCCAAAAGTTAAAACTCTGCCATCAATTACTCACCCTCATGTCATTACAAACATGTATGTCTTTTTTCTGTGCAACACAAATAAATATATTCTTAAGAATGTTTTTGCCCAAACAATGGAAGTAAATGGGGTCCAAAACAACACTGAACCCCACTGACTATCATTGCATTGACAAAAAAAAAACTCCTGTGGCATTATTCAAAATGTAAATGATGACAATTTTAATTTTTTGGGTGAACTATTCCTATAATAACCTCAGTTCTTAATGAGGTGACAAGAGTTCTGAAGGTATTATTTATTCTGTTATATATTTGCACTGTGACATTTTAGAACACACTGACACATTAAAATTAAATGTGTGCAAACTTTTACATTCGTGTACTTGTGCAGTGTGTTTGAGGCCAAACGACAGAACTTTCAGATTGTAGGTCTGTTTATCACAAAGATATCATATGGGTTCAGATGATACTTTAATGATGCTTTTATGTCCTTTTCAAAGCTTGAACGCTTCAGTCCTCATTTATTGTAAACTGCATTGAAAAGTGCAACAAGCAGCATTAGGAGTTGGAATGACATGAGTTGATTTTTATGTGACCTACTGGATTTGAAAAGGTGGGTTCTGGATGTAGGTGAGAATGTAAATGTAGTTATATTTTATGGATACATAAAGTTATAACTCACCCAAAAGTTAAAACTCTGCCATCAATTACTCACCCTCATGTCATTACAAACATGTATGTCTTTTTTCTGTGCAACACAAATAAATATATTCTTAAGAATGTTTTTGCCCAAACAATGGAAGTAAATGGGGTCCAAAACAACACTGAACCCCACTGACTATCATTGCATTGACAAAAAAAAAACTCCTGTGGCATTATTCAAAATGTAAATGATGACAATTTTAATTTTTTGGGTGAACTATTCCTATAATAACCTCAGTTCTTAATGAGGTGACAAGAGTTCTGAAGGTATTATTTATTCTGTTATATATTTGCACTGTGACATTTTAGAACACACTGACACATTAAAATTAAATGTGTGCAAACTTTTACATTCATGTATTTGTGCAGTGTGTTTGAGGCCAAACGTTCAAATAAATCTGCCTGTCCCTATATCACTTATGCAACAATTTTATAAACATATATCGACTCCAGCACCGTGCTTTGCCAATAGACACAGTGGAGGTACACAGTGTTCTGTGGCTGAAAAGAAGGGAGCCGCACTAATGCGATGGAAATGAGCTCTAACCAGCGCGGAGCATGAGAGCTCAGGGGCTCTGAGGAGACACAGCGGGTGCTGAGCTCTTAGCAGAGGTGCAGGGGGTCATTCTGAAACAACACACTGAGATGGATTTCAACAAGACATTCCCGGATAGCCACAATAATACCATATGCCTTCGTGTTAAAGGAAAATGGAAAATTCTCTCATCATTTATACTCCCTCATGTCTTTCCAAACCCTTCCGCAAAATACAAAAAGAGAATTTAAAGACTTTTCCATGCTCTTTTGCAATTATAATTAATGGTGACTAGGGCTTTTAAGCTTCAAAAAGATGCAAAAACATCATAAAAGCAGTTTACATAACTCTTCTGTTGTCATACGATCACTTGTGTGTGAGAAACAGATCCAAATTTAGGACATTAGTGATTGAAAAGCTTCCCTAGATTTCATAGGCATGTTGTATGAGAGAAGAATCATGAACAAATCACTCTTTTGAATCTTGTAAATGAATTGGTTCATTGTTCATTCAATGATTCATTTATGAATTGGAATGATTTATTAGTCATTTAACTCATTAGCTGCATTTAAATGCACCCAAATAATCCATCTAATAATCAGACTGATGGCTCAATCAGACTCAAAAGCCTTCGTGCAAACACCTTAATCGATGCAACTGAGATCGAATGAAAATTTCAATTGAATTGAAAGGAGCGGTGTAGACCTAAAATAATCTGATCGACAGGAAAAAATGGAGCATGTAAAAGGTTGAATCAGACTATTTTCCACAATCGGATTCAAAAATACCTTGCGCAGTGCTGTGATGCAATTTCACAAAAGTTTCAAATCTTACAAACATGCATATGTTTATTTCCTTGCCATGCCTCGTGAAATGGTCAGTGGATGACACTAAATGTTTACTTAAAAACTCTGCTGACAAATATGTTCTCGTTCTTTTTAAATTTCTTTTTAGAAGGCAAAATCATCTGGGCACTGCACATTAGCTGACGTTTTGTTCAGAAGAGATGCAATGCATGTAAAAACATATGTGAAATGCAATGTTCAGGGTTCATATAAACAGAACTTTCAGATTGTAGGTCTGTTTATCACAAAGATATCATATGGGTTCAGATGATACTTTAATGATGCTTTTATGTCCTTTTCAAAGCTTGAACGCTTCAGTCCTCATTTATTGTAAACTGCATTGAAAAGTGCAACAAGCAGCATTAGGAGTTGGAATGACATGAGTTGATTTTTATGTGAACTACTGGATTTGAAAAGGTGGGTTCTGGATGTAGGTGAGAAACAGACAACCTTCTAACCCCAGACTAATCTCTCAGTGCACAATGGCAGGAGGTGAATGAGAGGGGTGAGTGGCACTCATCCTCTGATGTGAGAGCTGCGCTGGGAGAGATTACCCAGAGCTGGGCTCCAACCGAGCTCTATTCACTATTCCACACGCACAGCTCTGCAGAAACCGGCTCCACGGAGAGCGTTCAACAAAGACAGAGACAGAGAGAAAGACAGACGCACAAACAACTTCCAGGACTGCAGATACAGGCTGAGGTTGAAAGTTTCAGTAGACTAACACGATACTGCAGTGCAGAGAAACCCAGCGGCTTTACGCTCACTGAGGAAATTATGTCATGGTTTCTAATAGAGTGCAGCACTGATACGAAAACAATCAATATCAAAGCTGTGATAAAAGACAATGGATCATTCTACTAAACAGGTTCCATTTGTGTAGCTCTTAAATAAATATACATTTATATATCACAATGAAATCTTTTTTTTTTTAAAGAATACTTTAAAGAAATTAACTATTACATAAATAAAAAAGCCATAATGAAATTAGCAGCCTATATATATAGTTATATGTTTTACTGAATATATAGGTTACATATTTTTAGAAATATGAGCGATGTTAAAATGTCAGCCTTAAAGGCATAATGAAATTATCAGCCTATACATGTTCATTAAATATATAGGTTAACATTTCTAGAAATATCATATTAAAATGTCAACCATGCTACATTTCTGAAGGCATAATTAACATTCGGTCACTTTTGACCAGAAAATTTAACATTTTGAAGTTGTTTTTTTCTTCGGAATGAGATGACACTTGGTTACTTTTGTCGCATTAGCTATGTGAACCAAAAAAAAATGAATATGAAAAAATAATTGACATGATTCGGATATGTTAAAGGGTTGAAAAATAAAAAGTAACACTCGGTACCTTCATGGTCAAACAAGACCGACATAGGAAATTAATGGGGGGGGGGGTGGACTGTTTCATCAGAATGGAATGAAATTTGGTCACTTTTGTCACATTAGCCATGTAATAAAAAAACATGTGGATAATAGTTCAGATATGTTAGAAGGTTGAAAAATAAAAAGTAACACCTGGTACTTTCGTGATCAAAACTGACCGACATAGGAAATTAACGGGAAACACGAAAAAAAAAGAAAAAAATTATGGAAAAAATTGCTAATAAAAATGTTATAAATATTGCATTGTATCATAAAATCTCTCCAAAATTCTAAATAATAATCAACCAAAAATGTAATCTTACCATATTAACTGGAAAAAGCACCTGTTTCATAGAATGATGCTAAAATGCAAATAAAAGGATAGATAAACAACACATGCAATAGAATACCTGAGCTGAGCTCCAATGTGAAAAATTGATGAGTGGTTGCATCCAAGATATTTAAAAAAATGTCCAAAAAGCTCCTTTTCATAATGGGAATTGGGGCTGTCAAGTTCCAAAAAAGGACCATAAAAATTATCTATATGATTTGTTTGCTATATTATGAAGACATACAATAGCTTTGTGCAAGAAAAAGACAATATTAAGAAAAAAAGAAAAAAAAACCCTTTAAATGTACGTGCTGGATTTATAACATAATAAATGTTAAAGAATGTTTTATAACAAAACAAAACAAACAAATTAATTAATAAAAACAAATAAATAAATTACCACAGAAAATGTGGCGGATGACAGACGATTAACACCTTTAACAGGTGTCTACATCAACTCCAAAACAAAAAGCCAACCACTGTGGCCTGCCTCTTGCCCAACAGTGTGATAGAGAGGATACATGCATGTAAAATATTTAAGAAAGTGAATACTTGTACCTGCCGGAATGACTTGTTTTGATGCATACTGTTTTACTATTCAGCAAAGTGCAGTGTATGGAAAAAGTTTTTGAAAGCAGCACAATTTATCTTAAACTTCACTTCAGAACTGTACCAGAAGATTTATGCAGCCAATTTAGGTAGATGCACAAGATAAAGGTGCATTTTGCTGGATGATACTACAGTGGTTGTGGACTCCATACTGCCACCTATCTATGTAGATGCAGCATAAAGACGTTTTACGTCATTTCTTTCGGTGCATGTTCAATATTTGGCCGACTGCTGCTGCAACTGCCTGGTGAAGGCAATCTCCCTGCAGAGAGAACCAGAGCAGAAATAATGCTTTGCAGGCATATGGGTCATGCTACAAAACATGTAACCACTTAGTTTGACATTACTAGCTTTGTGAAGGTGCATTTTGCTGGATGATACTACAGTGGTTGTGGACTCCATACTGCCACCTATCTATGTAGATGCAGCATAAAGACGTTTTACGTCATTTCTTTCGGTGCATGTTCTATATGATATTGCAGTACATCAGCGCCCAGTTAGGTTAGATGACACTGATGAGTGCAAACAGAAGATGAACAGAAATGAAGGTTGATGTTGAATGACAGTATCATGACGCGAGCGTGTGGCGGCGCCGGCGCTGACCCAGATCCGGCGTGATGACATCATTATGCCGGATCTGGGTCAGCGCCGCCACACGCTCGTATCATGATACTGTCGTGAACACGCGTCCACAAGTGACATAGTAGAGATGAAAATGTGGAATAAAGTCGTTATTTTTGTTTTCTTTGTGCAAAAAAGTATTCTCGTAGCTTCGTAACTTTACAGTTGAACCACTGATGTCACACGGACTACTTTGTCGATCATCTTGGTACTTTTCTGGACCTTCTGGTAGTTACCTTGCTGTCTATGGGAGAGTCAGAGAGCACTCAGATTTCATCAAAAATATCTTAAATTGTGTTCCGAAGATGAACGAAGGTCTTATGGGTTTGGAACAACACGAGGGTGAGTAATTAATGACAGAATTTTCATTTTTGGGTGAACTAACCCTTTAAACTCGTGAAACTGCATGATGCTCCTTACAAAGAGAACTGATTTAATGCTACAAACATCCACTGTTCAATTCTCTGTTGTTTTCGTGATGAAACCACAGAAAGTTATTTTCAGACAGGCTGGTAAAATAAGACATTGACTTACTCTTGCCCATTGCACCCATGTAGTTTGACAGCTTTCTTTCCATTTATGTAATATGTTATGTGACATTTTTTACTTTTATGGAAGACAAAAGAAGATATTTTGCTAAATGTCCACAAAGCTCCTTTTCATACTGGGGATTTCAAGCTCTAAAAACTACAAAAAAAAAAAAAGAAAGTACCATATGACTTGTTTTGCTACATTTTGAAGACATACAATAGCTTTGCGCAAGAAAAGACAGAAAAATAGCAGAAATAATGCTTTGAAATCTCATTAAATTCAAATATGCTGCATCAAGACATGTCATGTTTAATATTAACTCTTTCCCCGCCATTGACGAGTTATCTCGTCTTTAACAAGAAAACGTTTCCCCGCCAAAGACGAGTTTTTACGGCTTTTCGTGTTTTCATTGTTATACACTCGGGGGCGCTATTACGCATCTTCTGAACGAGTACAAAACCTCCCGAACAAAAACACACGTGAACAGGACGGAGAAACTAGCGATCTCTTATGTAAACAGATGCATATGAAAAATAATGCTATCATCAGCAATAGACAGCATATAAATGAAAACTGCATAATGTTACAGAGTAAAATGTTGATCCAGGAAGTTGTATATGTCTGTGCAAGCTTTGGAGGTATTGATGAAGATGTAGTTTTTGATAAAAATGTGATTCTCACCTTTTTGCTCAAAATTATAATTTTTTATGAAACCTACTTATATTCAAGTGTTGATAAAGAATGCTTTAAGCTAGAATAAAACTGATTTTTTTTTTTTTTTTAAGTAGAGGCTCTGATCTTGGTGTATTGCATATTCAAATATTCATTTGAAAATTCAGGGATTTTTTAAAGATATTTAGAGATATGACACTTAACTTAGGGAAAAAGAAGCAATTGACAATAAAACTAATTTATTCAGTTTTTTTGTAAATACCTATAAAAAAAACTTTATATATAACTATTAACAGTTCATAATTATACTATTATGATGTGTAGAATCAGGATATGATGCTTAAAGTAGATAAAACATCACCAGACTTGCTGCATATGGACCAGATCAACGGTTTCCCTCATAAACAGCCATTTAAATGTGTATCTGGAAGTGTAGAAAAAGAGGAAGGGGAGGAGAAAAACAAAAGGGAGCTGAGAAAATCAAAACAGGAGGAAAAACCGAGGAGATTTATACTTCCTCCTGCGAGCAATCAACGAGCTCCCGCTCTCTCTCTCTCTCTTCAGTTCTCGCTTTATTCCCTGCACAAACACGTTTCTCTTTTCCATAAATAAATCCTGCTCTTTCTTCTCTCTTCTTCTGCATTTTGTACACCTCACACTCTCTGTCTTCCCAAAAATTAGGGGAGGGGGGAGTGGGTCTTTTTTTTATTGAGGGAAAAGGAGAGGAAGATAGAGAGAAGCCAAAGCAAAATAAAAGTGGAGGAAAATGAAAGAGAAAAATAGCGAAGGGAAAAGAAGCGACGACAAACAGCGAGGTGCTGGAAGGTCATGCGGTCGCTGCCAGGTTCCCGGGTTCCCATCCCCTGGTGACAAAGCATGGCTCTCCGTGAATGAGAGACGGATAAGAAGAGGCTGTGGAACCCATTCACAAAAAAGATGGAGAAAGAAAGAGGGACAGAAAGAAAGGGCAGCCCCCTCCCTCCTCAGCGCTGGCAGCAGCTTGAAGCCTCCATTATCTCCTCTTCAGTACTCTGACACCCCTACACAAGCCAATTATGCCACAGCGCTCACCACGGACAAGACGTCTGCTTAATATTAATGTCACACACACACACACACACACACATCCAGAGCAGGAGATTTCCTGCATCCACATAACACAGTGTCTAACTATTATAGGAGATGTAAACAAAACAGCAGTCAATGAAACAATACAACATTGAATTGAATTGAACAACATACACGTGGGTAAAGTTTTTCAAAACAGTAAATATAATTTATTAAAATAAACATAAATGCATCTTCTTTAAAGGACATTAAAAAGTTATTTTTACTGAGTAACAAGAAAAATATACTAATTATTTATATTATGACAATTAAGCACATTTTCTACACAAATTCTTATAACCATATGCAATAAAAAAGTATTTGTACATTATGATAGGATTTGTTCTACTGCTTTTAATGTATACTATTAATACTATATATATATATATATATATACACTAATATGTATATTAAATTAAAAATATACAAATTATAAAAAATAATATAATATAAAATATATAAAATGATATAATAAATGATATATAAATTTTTCCATTATTACTAAAAGAAATTACAAATAAATTCAAACAAATTTAAATAACATGGTAAAATGTTTAGACAATGTTACAAATAAATAAAAAAAAACGAAATAACATCGGTTTCATTTATGCTAAATATACTTTGTTTTATTAACCCTTTTTTAGGGGTTAAATATGACAAGGGTAATTTTTAATGAGATTCACCCAAAGACTTCTACAGAATGAACAGTGTAAATTAATTTTCAGCACGTTTAGGACTCGGAGGAAACTCATTTTGTTTATCTTTGCTGGCCATTCATCATTATTTTAACCGTCCGGCGCAGCATGGAGACACATTGCTAAACAGTGTCACATCCTGCGCTCAGACAGTCTCACTCAATCACACTGACACACAACAGCACAAAGACACTGACCCCGCGGCTGACACCAGCTGCTCTGAGCACAACAGAGCCCCGTGCACTCCACTTCTCACTCGCACCTTCTTTTTATTCTTCCGTCTGTGAGAAATGAGGCTCCCGAGGCCTCCAGACACCCAAAACTAGGAGTATAACACACACACACACACACACACACACACACACACATCTGGCATCTCCTGTAAAGTGTAACCTAATCAGGTGAGCAGCCCATGTGAAATATTCACACACATATGTGAAAGACAAAGAAATATAAGCATGTAACTGTGGGTGTGTATGGATGCGTTTTGAAAACAACATGCACTGAACTGAGACAAGATTGTGCACTATTTAGGAGAGGAGAACCAGGAGGGATTCCCGTGCTGTTCGTCTGCAGCATTAATGCTGTTAATCTTTTGTGTAGCCTAGTGGTTAAAGGTTTAGGCTGGTAACCAAAAGGCTTAGGCTTAGGACTTAATTTCAAGTCGGATTAATTGTCAACTAAATGATCAGTTAAATGTTTTCACCTGAAAAGCTCAACGATTAGTCAGAATTTGTGATTGGCTGACCAACCTGAGAGCAGAGTAGGTGCCCAGTGAGAGCGAGGAGAATTCGGGGTGATAGTAGAGGTACACAGACGACACACAGGAGGGCAGGATGTCCAGAACTCCTACGGCTACTATTCTGCCATCCAACCAATACTGCTGATGGAACGAGCCGTAGCCCACATCAGGACCATCAGGAGCGGTCTCAGCCTGGAGAAGATGCGCGAAAGACAAAGACAAAATTTATTATAAATATGTAATTATTATACAATGTGTTTTTTTGTAGGCTTTTGCCTCTTTTCATTGGATGAGAGTGAAATTTTTTTTACTGGGGACTGAAAGTGAGAAGCAGGAAATTCTGCTGGTCAGATTCAAGCATACATTACTCACATGATATTTATAAGTGGAAAAAAAATATTCATTAAAAAATGTGAAAGATTATTATAATTTAAAATAATGGTTTACTATTTGAATATATTTTAAAATGTAATTTATGTCTGTGATGCAAAGCTGAATTTTCAGCATCATTACTCCAGTCTTCAGTGTCACATGATCCGTCAGAAATCATTTTAATATGCTGATTTGATGATCAAGAAACATTTGATTATTATCGATATTGAAAACAGTTGTGCTGCTTGTTTTTCTGGGAACAGTGATACATTTGTTTTCATGATTCTTTTATAAACAGAAAGTTCAAAAGAGCAGCAATTATTATAATTAGGAGACTTTTGTTACATTATAAAATGTCTATACTGTCCATTTTGATTAATTTAATGCTTGCAGAATAAAATTACTCACATCCTTCAACTGTTGTTCAATTAACAAGCAATGAACAAATTTAATATTGAATATATCATTTGGACAACTCATACTTTGAAGCTGGGAACGGAATCGCTGCTCCAAAAACAAACACTGGTGAAATGTTTATCAAAATGGTTTGACTTCACTGTAATATATAAAGTAAAGGGTAAATAAAGGGCATATTCAACTGGAAAAACACATGAAGGGTGGGACTTGATTTTATGCATCAGGATTTGATTGGATGGTGAAAATGGTTGGAGGGGAGGGGCTGAAAAACTTCACAGCACTTTTTATTGACAAACTTTTTTGTGCATGTACTGATGAACTGTGCAAAATTATACCAGGAACAGTCCGTTTTGATCTCATTTAAACTTTAAGTTGAATTTCCAAATTTCTAACTTTTTGAATTTACAATATTATAAAGCAAATCATTTCAAAAGACTGAAAAAGTTTTGAAATATGTTCCTGTGTGTGATCCTGTGTAAAAACGAGTCAATCAATGCTCAAACAATTTGAAAGTCTGTGCTTGCAAAGGAACACAGGGTGTACAGTAGCTTGCTAATAGTTCCCACATGTGGGCTGAGAGCAGAGGTGTGCGTGTGTGTGTGTGTGTGTGTGTGTGCGTGTGTGTGTTTGTGGAGTGAAAGTCCATGCCAGGCACACACAATCTATGAGAGGCGATTTAATAAAAATCCTTGCATGAACAAAATCAATCTCCACACTGAAAGCCTGTGCAGGATGGACCGAGGGGCCGTTTTTACCCTCTGTGTGAACGTGTGTGTAAATCAGTGAGTCAAACCACAAAAAAAACAACTACAACTACTGTTGTGTCTGAAGATAAAAGCCCACATTCCTTCATGTGACATGAATGCACTCGTGTATGAATATATGTCTCCTGTTTTGGACGGCCGTAAAACCCCAAACCGTTACCTGCCCAAGATCATATTTCCCACTCAAACCTTCACGCTGGCTTTTTTCAATCAAGTGGTTAATCGAGAAGGGCGCTTTATTCACCCTAGTCCACCATTGAGACTTCAAACGTCTCGGCGGTAGGGGGCCTACGCAGCCGCAGCCGTAACGGGATCTCTCCGCGGCCCCCTTGGCCCATCTGGGTCCAGTTAGCCCTGCAGGAAGGCGGCTCGTTATCACAACACCAGGGGAGCGACTCGGCCAATCCATTCAGTATGAGAGGCTTTAGATGCTGCCGTGCCACGGTCACTCACCTCCAAATTAAAACCAACACAGCAGAAACATCACAAACGCCACTCACAATGTTCAAACCTACACAGTAAAACATGTTTGTAATGTTAATGGTAAAAGACAGTAAAAACCTGTTAATTAGTTAACGGTAAGGACCCTTACTATATATGGTAAAAAATCGTCCTCTAATGGGACATTTCATCCACCTTTATTTTTGAGGCAGGAGGCGCCATTACGCATTTTGTGAATATTGTAAATTTGTTTTATGGTTATTGGCTTAATTCTACTTCTCTGTGCAGCACTTTGGTCAGCTCTGTCGTTTTTAAATGTGCTATATAAATAAATTAAACTGAAACTGAGGGTGAGTAATTAATGACAGAATTTTCATTTTTGGGTGAACTCTCTCTTTAAAGGAGTGGTTGATCAGCTTTTTTGTGTTTATGGGGTGCAGTGTAATGTGTTCATGCTTTGTTTTTCAAAAATGCATTATTTTCAAATATTTTACCTTTTTTCTACACCGCTGTTTCTGTTCTCGTCAAAACGGTCTGTTGTGTTCCTGAATCTATTAAGCCACTCCCTTTCTCGGGCTCAGATTGGTTAGCTGGCCCAGAGTGTTGGGATTTGCTCACTGCCTAGTGCGCACTGTCCGGAAACGTCATGCAACCCTTACCATTATGGGTAGCTGCATGTTCCCGGGGGCAGGGCTTATGTAAACATCAGGGTTAGTGATGTCACAAACCCGGGAAGATATAGTTTTATTGGGTGTATATTTAGGGTTGTGTATTATTCTGTCACCTTTTTATTGTAAATTTGTTTTATGGTTATTGGCTTAATTCTACTTCTCTGTGCAGCACTTTGGTCAGCTCTGTCGTTTTTAAATGTGCTATATAAATAAATTAAACTGAAACTGAGGGTGAGTAATTAATGACAGAATTTTCATTTTTGGGTGAACTATCTCTTTAAAGGAGTGGTTGATCAGCTTTTTTGTGTTTATGGGGTGCAGTGTAATGTGTTCATGCTTCGTTTTTCAAAAATGCATTATTTTGCTTTGTTTTTCAAAAATGCATTATTTTCAAATATTTTACCTTTTTTCTACACCGCTGTTTCTGTTCTCGTCAAAACGGTCTGTTGTGTTCCTGAATCTATTAAGCCACTCCCTTTCTCGGGCTCAGATTGGTTAGCTGGCCCAGAGTGTTGGGATTTGCTCACTGCCTAGTGCGCACTGTCCGGAAACGTCATGCACCCCTTACCATTATGGGTAGCTGCATGTTCCCGGGGGCAGGGCTTATGTAAACATCAGGGTTAGTGATGTCACAAACCCGGGAAGAAGCTCGTTGTAGTCCCTACCAATCTTTTTTTGGTAGTCCTTAAACAACGATTTCTTTAAAAGAAAATAAAGAAAATGCCTTTGCCTTGAACTTTGAGCGTCGTAACTTTGCAGACGTTATTTATGCTCTGACAGCAACATTACACACTAACTAGAGTTAAAAAAGTGAAACCATAATCAACCACCCCTTTAAGTCTCTGGATCGAAACATGGCGAGGAAGAAGCAAAAACAAGCGACTGCATATGTAAGCAGATGCATATGCAAAATAACGTGATCATCAAACGTTAAACAGGAAGTAGAAGTGGTATAGGACTGTGCAAGCTTTGGATGTGTTAGAAGCGATCTATTCCATCTATGGTTTGATCATCATTCTGAATCCGACAAAAATTCCATTATCTCTGTTTTTTGTTATGTGTTGCAGTTTTCAAGAAACTTACCCACTTACCCAAGTGCTGAAAAAAAAAAAAAAGTTAGATTTGTTTTTTTTGTTTTTTTAAGCAGAGGCTCAGTTTCTTTGTTTTGCATGTTCAGATATTCATACAACAAAATATTCTGGGTGCCACTAAACTTTTGTGAAAATGATCAAAAATGTTGCCGGTGGCTGGCGACTTTTTAAGGAAAAACAGTGGCGAAAAAAGGGTTAACGTAAAAATGGGCATGGCCATTTTTAAATTTAATGTGTGAGACTTCCAGAGTCATTCGCTTCCAGGTATTTTTCGATGTAAAAACAGCTTGTTATGCTGCATGATATTGCAAAGTGATTTTTCTTATCAGATTTTTTAAAGGTAGTAATAAACACAATGGTTTGTAACGCAAGCTGCTTTACTGTTTACTGCACTGTTATTTTTCTAGTTATTTTCTATTAAATCTTCAGCTAATGAATTGGAAGTCTCATACATTCATAGAAAATAGATTGATTTGCATTGCAAAATAAGGTGGATATAGAGATTTTATAGATTTTACATTGGATTCTATTAAATCTTCAGCTAATGAATTGGAAGTCTCATACATTCATAGAAAATAGATTGATTTTGCATTGCAAAATAAGGTGGATATAGAGATTTTATAGATTTTACATTGGAATACTGCTAAATACACAGATTTTGGAGGTAAAATCAACAGTTATTGTATACTTTAAAGAGAAAAATCGTAAACTGACATTCCCACAATTCCATGCCTGACACTATACATTTAATATTTTGCTTAAATACCGATATTTCTTGTTATCAGCTATGTTCATTTGGGTTTTATGTTGCATCTGATGTTGTTTCATCAGTGCTTTGTATTTATGTTTCTATTTTTTACTTTCTATATACGTCTACATATTTTGAAACATGCATTTTCGTGAAGCTGCTTCGAATTAATATATCTTGAGCAAAGTGCTATACAAATAAACTTGAATTGAATATATTGGTATATTGTAAAAAAAAAAAAAAATTTTAAATGGTAAATAACTATGTATTACAAGAAAATATTATTAAGAAAAAAATGTGTTTTTGTGTTTAATGCAATAATCAATGTGTTTAATGCAATAATTCAGTGCAGTTTCTTTGTAACTGTTTGTGAAATTAACTAGCAAATTCTGAGCAAAAAGTTTAGCTTTTTTCAGTGTATGTACTTTTTTAGTAGAAAAGACACTTGTGATGAACACTTGTAATTCATCATGTGTCTCTTTTAATCGCCTTTATTATTACAGTTAACAGTACATTATATGGGTACAAAACAGATTTTAGTAGATTTCAGTTGATGGAATAGTTTTGTACTGTAACTAAGTTCAGTCCTGTAAAACCTAGCATCCTTCAAAGTATAAACTTTGCTCGGTTCACAACATCCCTAGAGGCGTTACAGTAAACCCCTCATTTCCCCCAGGAGGAGCACATT